GTCCAAATTTATTTATGCGTTTTCAAATCTTATTTCAATGCTTTATTTCGCGGGAAAAATTGTTCGTATATATTAAATGTTTTGAATATTACTATAAACAAACGCATTGCAAACTATGCTTGATTTTCGCCAAAACTACAGAGAATATATCAGGCTTCAAGCAAATTAAAAAAAAAAAAAAAGTTTAGTCGCGGTTGATAATGAAATCTGAGTTTAAAAAACCAAAAACATATTTTTGGTCTATGTAAACAAGATCGTGGTTATGTAAATAAGAGTTACATGATATGCTGTCGCTTATATCCTCTAATGGGAATCTTAAAGATTAGTTCGAAAAAAAGAAAAGTTTTTTTTTCGCGCTGCAACCTGCCGTGTATACAAAATATTTGGCTGAGACGGCAACCATACATGTCAAGATAATTGTGTAAATGTTAGATTAAGAGCTTACTTGGGTATATATATATAACGAATAACTCACAACAGATAGATGCATCAACAGCCCCGATTCGATTATGCTTTGTATAAGTGGCCGAATTTTTCTGCTTTATCAGTGGCGAAGAATAAATCTTTATAAAATATATTCTGCTTTATATGACAGAAACAATAATTACAATTGGGTGAGGATATACGTAGCGTACACACACGCGCCTGATTGACCAGCGCCACCTGTGGAAAGCATAGTGCGATGCATCATCACGCGAACTCTTCGTGTTTTCATTTTGCGTTGGCATACACTATACGGGACTGACAAAAAAAATTATGTCAAGCGTAAACTATGATACGAACTTGCAATGCGATTACTTAATTTCGCATCTAAATTCTTTTAACAAAAGTCAAAATGAGTCATAATTCAGAAGTCGTTAATTCCAAGATTATCGTTACATTCCATGATTTTCCGGCTCGCACTGCCTAAGTTTATTTTAGTAAACAGTAAAAAATGTTTCCTTATTCACTCGAATAAATCAGTTATTCTGGCCACGGCAATTAATTCGGAAAAGGCATACACATCTACCAAGACACATAGGCATACATTCAATCGGTTGTTTATATTCACTAGAATTAGATCTTTCATATATATATCAAACAATTCTGTATCTAGTTGATGATTACCATTTGTTGAGTCGGATATTGATGCAATGTGAGTTTAACTGGCGTATTTTATCATGTTGGTGACAATCGTTTTTGCTGAAATATTCAACACTTTGAACTTAGTTGTTTATGTTGAACTCGAGAAGATGTTCTGTAGTTTTTAGGTAAATATTTACACCAATAAGTCGCGAGAACTGAATCTCACTGTGTTAACTTAGTCAAGAGGTGCGCATTGTTTTTTCTACCTAAATATATAATGATAAATAAGGGCGTACTTAAAGAAACATAATCCGGATGTGGAAATATTGCAACAATTTAAAATATGTACTTCATTGACAAAGAAGCATTGTCATAATTTAACAAGTAATTGTTGTTTATTGCTACAACAGGCCTGTTTCATGTCATGTATCAGAGCACTCGAAGCTGATGAACCCAGAATTAGAAATGGCCTGAATTATCATCACCAATATGACTAGGGTTACCATACTTTTGTGACTTCAAAGCGGGACGCCTCCGCTTAGCTGTGATTTTTTACCTTCACATTTTCCGATTTTACTACATAGGCCTACATTTGAAATCTATCCCGACTGTCTTCGTTGACTGTATTGTCATCGAGCGTTCATGCGCATATTTTTTGTCTAAATATCGGTTTCAGTTCGAAAAATAGAAAGCAATTGACGTTGGCGATACAAAATAATTCGAATTTTAGATTTTTTTTAAGTACAGCAAAATGAAGAAAGAATAATAAAATAGCATCCGGTTCTCAAGCATTGAGAATTCACTTATTCGCCTAATTATACTTTTCCGTATATATATATAATACCTTCTTAATAAAAAAGGCGTTGTTCAATGTTACATTCTTGTAAAAGTCAGAGCAGGACCAATCAGTATTGATTTGACATGTGATAACGGCTTTCACACTCTGCGACCCGCACCCTCTTGACGTACATGTCTTACAAGTAACAAATTGTACCAATTATCCGCTAACAAAACTAACAAAATCACGCATTTACCTTCACTAAGTAGGCTACCGGTACGCTACACAGCAACAACAGTAACGAGAACATGTTAATTGCAGTAATTGGTAATGTTTGTGTATTATGCTGGCCGAACGCCAAAGCGGGACTTTTGGCTGACCGGTCGGGACGCCGGGACAATACGTTAAAATTGGGACTGTCCCACCAAAAATGGGACGTATGGTAAGCCTAAATATGACTGTATATTCTAGATCTTTAGAAGTTGTGAGCGTGATGTTCGCATTGACTCCAATCATTTGATTACGCCATACACGTTTAATGTTTTATTTGGCCAATTTTATTATAGTTTGGTAATAGGGTTTCAGTAAAAAATCAGTATCAGTAATATGATTCAAATTTATCAAAGGCATATGTTACATTACAAAATGTCGTCCGTGCACTTCAGAGCGATGTCTTATCCTAGAAGTCCAAGTGTGTGCAGCGTTTTGAAGGGTAATTTGTGGAATATCGTTCCGCATTCATTCGTGATCTCATCTGACCATTATTTTTAGATTTTCTGCTTTTCTAGCGACCACCCTGTATTTTAAATATTGCACTTCGCATAAATACAGCGATACAAATCGTGCACAACAACCACTTAAGGCGCTATAGAGCAGAAGTAGTTCGATCGTCTTGCTGTTGGTCTGCAGATTCTGTACGGCAGTGGCATGGAATTGCGTTACTTTCTTGGAATTCGTCGTTTAAAATTCTTAGTTTTGGGAGTTGCTCAATGATAGTTCGATTCCATACTCTTCGTAGTTTTGGGTAAGCCATCATCTATACAATTTTATCAAGATATTAGACTAAATTACGATCATGTTTTCTGAGATAACCATTCTGTAATTTAGTTTACTGATGTTAGACTTGGGTGTATTTTAGGGGTCTCGTGTAGTTTCGTACCTAACGTACTTCTAGTGGGCGTAGCATTACGCCATCCAAAAATTAAATCACTACGACATCACAATCACCTCATAGAGCTTGCCAAATATACGCATGATCGACCGAAATGACATTGGCGCCGACGATAACTGACTGACGTTATCGGTCTCTCTTCTATTGGAATCGTTGCGACGAGAAAACGAGAGAAATAACTGTTCAATTTCGGGTGCTCGTTTGCGCGTCTTGGATGGCAGTTCGTATAGTTTGAAGGGCTCTATTACGTCACTGTGACGTCGATGGTGTAGTCAGGTGGGGGTTAGGATTGATACGTGAAAAAATTGTCAAGCTACGCCCACTAGAAGTATGTTAGGTAAGAACTACATGAGACCCTATTATTGATAGTATTTTGGTTTTGATTTCATTTGAATAGTTGGTTGTAATAACTGTAGTGTCAGATATAATAATTAGTAAAGCTGCCTGTGGGGAGAAGCTACCAAGAATATCGATGTAAAAAAGCGACCCGTCATTTGTGTAAATTGGAACACGAGACCCGCAGATTCTACCTATCTCACAGGTATGTTAAACCGTAAATATATACTATATAAAGGGAGTGAACCTTATGGTAAGCCGAGAAAAAATTAAAAATCACTTCAGAATGATTATTAAATTCAGCACTAGAGGATGTATAAATATAAGCCTAGCACTTGTATGCCATTAACATGATATATATTCGTGAGTATGAATCATCGTCGTGCATGATCAACGCTTGTCGTGTATTCAATTATGCCCTGCAAAATAATTTTATCCACTTTCGATCGCTTTCCCAGCCTAGCAACGAGTTTTTAGAGGGATTGCGTTGCCTGTATTTATTTTATGCTGGGCCACAGTTGTAGATTAGCATTTGGTGGAATGACCATCTTCTTTCTACCTTGATAAACGGCTGCTTTAGGGTGGGTGGAGAACGTAACAGCTTTATTGTTCGTACAAAGCTTTCTAGAACTTTTGGAAACCGGAACTCGGGAATCGGGCTAATAATTTTCTTTTTCTGGTTTTACGCGAAGCTTTTTTTGCATCCGCAGAGGTATCGTTTATCGTAATTTAAAAACGTACACTGCGATTGATAGGCTTCACTGTGCGCCAAAATGCTTCGTTTGTAAATTCTGCGAATTGCTTGGTCAAAATCTTCTCCATTGACGCAAAAGTGTTCCATGCGTAGGATTGTTTCCCATCACCATCACATAACATACAGCTCACAGCCACTATTCCAATCATTCAAACAAAGTGAAGCATCTGGCCTCGTTTAGGTCGGGACTGCGAAGTACCGGTAGATAGTAAGAAATGCCACAGAAGGGCTGCAAAGCTATTGTTTTAGACAAAGTTAGAGGCGCTGTCTGAATACTTTCTACCTTCAAAGATGCTTTTAATCGTTGAAATTGTTACAGTAGTATGTGACTAAGAAATTAATTTCAGAAAATACTGTGCCCATTTTCATTTAAATACATCGACAAACGCGGATGTTTATTTTCGCAACTCGGGTGAATTGTCAACACCGGCGGAATGCGGATTAAATTTCTCGTCATCGCCATGAGAATATCGCTGTAGAGCCATCGCCCCATTTGACTCTTTTGTCTAGATATGTGTGAAATTCAAGTCACATACTCTACTCGATTCATTTCAATTTCATGTCGCCGGGTAAACCAGGTTTGTTTGAAAATTGCTCCCTGATCCGAGTCATTACTTGTACAATCAAATATGGTCGTTTGCGTTGCTGTTACATTGATCTATAGTCAAATACATCTATTTATATCTGACAACGTATTCCCAATGAAATGTTGTATTATTGATTTTATGTTATTTTAGATCTCTTTGTACAAATCGAACAAAGATGAATTGGCTTGAGCTAAGAGATTCTCATAAAAAATCTGTTCCTGACTACCCACGGTTCAGTATCACTTTTTCAAATATCATAATTCTTATGTGCTTGACTAAGGTAGCTATTAAATGAAGACAGACAAAATGTTGAAATCACTGCTTTATTGCATATTAAACGAACGGAACGTTTTTCATTCATTTTAATTAATAATTCCGAATAATATTTGCCAGGAATTGCTTAGAAAAAGCTGGATTATAGATAATCGATTCACTGTCACCTCGCGCTATTTTCTGAACATGACTGACAGACTCCCTAGAAAATTACATGGCATTCATCAGTCTGTACATGTTGCCACCATCACTTTTAAAATTAAACTTATGAATTAAAAATATACAATAGATATAAAATTATTAAAAAATAAAGATTTGATATTTAATCGAAATGTTCTGCACGTTAATCATGATACGCTCATTAGGTTTTTCCCAAAGGTCATAGGAAATAATATCTTCCACAAAATCAACGTTTTTATAAACTTTTTATGAGATTATCAATCGGCAGGAATGCACTATAATAGAAAATGCACGCATATTTACATGCGATGAAATATAAAATTAATTAGTGCATTCCATCACGTTCATCAACAATTTTTCGATTCTTTTTTACAAATAATTAAAATCGAGGTTAATATGATATATCCGTCATTCTGCTACAAAATTTACACAATTGCTGTCAATAATGTCCCATGGTGAATTTAAATACAACCCTATTAATAATTTGATTTCAAAGATATTTATACATAAGTGGAGAATTGTTTCAATCTGTTATGGAATTGAAGAAAGATAGAAAAACGTTCACTTTTTTATAACGTCTTGAAAGTTATTTGCTTTTTTTTATTTTCATATTGTTTCGAACTTTCGAACAATTGTAAAACACGTTTCGCGTTCTGAGATTTTGGTAATTATCATATATATTTTGTTAATCCGAATGTAGCGAACATAGGCTGGTTTAGCCTCGTGACATTGGGATATTGCTGGAGAAAAATGAACAAATTTAAAACTCTAAATTAGTTACTCGAAGTTGGCTATGATTCGAAGAACTACTTTTGTCCATATCAGAAAATTAACTTATAAGCCTAATAATAGCAGTATACAATAGCAATATGTCATGACAAAAATACCGAGTTAAAAATGAAATAAAAACTTTTTTTCTTTGGAATAGTTTGATTCATTTCTAAATGAATGAAAATACGAAATTTCAATAGAGAAGCAAATTAAATTTTGGTATGTTAATATGTTTACAACTGCAAGGCAGTTTTGATCTTTTTCATATGTATGTTAAACAAATAATGGGTTTCCTTCAAGTTTCAATAATTTTGATTGTCATCCCTTCGCCAGTCCACTGTTTCTTTGGCGTTGTGCCGTTTTGTTGAGGTTTCTTAACACTAGCCCCGAATAAATGACTGTGTTTATTAGTAGCATTGCTTTGCGACTTTGACAGCTGAGCTAGTTCGTTTCTGGCATCTGTCTTGCGGAAGGGTTGCTGCTGATTTTCACGATTCTTCTTTTCAATAGCAGCTCTCAGTGCAGCTACGCTTGATATTGCCGGTGTTTGTTGATCATCTTCGTTCTGGTTGTTTACTACTGGCACGTCCGCGGATGACTTTACGGGAGGCCTATTTATAGACTTCAATTGATGTCGTCCAAAAACTACTTGCGTGGTTTGTGGCTGCGGCGTAGGCTTCAGTGGCTTTGGCTCTTCATTGGTCTGTGTCAGGATGGCAGCTATTGGCACCGGTGATGGTTTTTCCTGTTGTTGAGGTTTTTCGTTCACTGCTACCTTAGGAATCACAACAAACGTGGCCTTTGGTGTTTCTACTACTTTAGGTGGTTCTCGAACTTCTACAGGACTAGGTTGTTGCTCTATAACCACTGGTGGTGGTTCCTGCAGGGCTTTCATTATGGGCTCTGGTTCTTCTTCCTTATCGCTGTCATCTAAACGATTAAAAACTTATTTATTTTTTATCTTAACTGTGATTCGAGATTATTTTGTATTACAGTATGTTTGTAAGCAATCTATCTAATATGAATAGCTAAATACAAGACTCATTGATAAGTTTTACACTTTTTTTAGTCAAGGTTGGATCTTATATGTAATCTGTATATAATGATATTATACGACGAAAGTTGTTTGCTAGAAATATATTAAGTGATATTCTGAAGGTTTGAGTTTGGCAAATCCTGTTACGGTCCTGTTTAGAGTATATTTAAAAAAAAAATTTGCCTTTTTCGCTTAATCTTTCCGATATCTCATTTGCAACAATCAAAGCAGCAGCAGCTTTGGCAGCTCTTGATATTTCGTCTTCTTCCTCATGCTTTTCCTCAATGTGGTTCTCAATAATATCTTGCACATCGTCATTTTTCACTTCCTCCAGAATATCCTGTACGATTGGAACAGGTGGTTCATCTACAGTAGGAGTTGTAGGGCGGCTACCACTTGAAGCAGATTCAATTTCGTCCCGGTTGTCCACTACTTTCGTCACTACTGCAGCAACGACCACTTTTTCAGCCAGGCCTAAGCCTTCGTCTTCGTTTCTTCTATCTTCAATATCTTCTAAGATATCTTCAATCTCATCTTCAACCACTTCTTCTCTGGTGTCAACTTGTTCTTCTTTTCTTTCTTGAACAATCTCAATTGCTTCGCTGATTGCGGATGCGGTTTCACTGCGATCAGTTTCTCCCGATTCTTCGTTGATCTCTTCTCGGATTTCTTCAACCGCGGTCGCTACGGCAACAGCCATTGCCGCCTTTTCTTCAGGACTGAATTCTCGATTTTCTGGCTCATTGATTTCCTCTCTTTCCTCGTTAATGACCTCGATGACCTCTTCTATTTTATCTTGAATCGTTTCCTCCTCATCCACTTTAGTTTCATCTCTTTCATCATCATGATCGTCCAAAACTTGAATAACCGCTGCAGCTGCCGCAACTCCCGCCGCTATTTGTTCCGCATCTTCCTTATCTTCATCTTCTTGGTGAACTGTAGCTTCTGTTTCAATAACAGACGAAGTGGCAGATGTACGGCCGATAGATTCTCTCTCGGAATCTTGGGAAAATAATAAAGAATTAAATAGTCTCAAGTCGTTCACATCAACAAAGATACGAAAATTTATAATTGTTTAATGGCTGTATTATTGCGAAGTCGCATACAAAATAACTGGGTTTATAAGATAATATATAACTGACGAACGATGGAGTTTAGACTAGAGCATTTCAAGTTATTTACATATGTTATGACAGACTAACATTCCTTTGAGAACAAAAATTACCTTGCTTATCAAATGTTTTCTTTGCCAATGCTGCAACTATCACTATGTTTCTGAGTTTATAGTAAATGTCTCCTTCTTTATCAATTACTAGGAATGTTACCTGTAGCAAAAAAAATTATTGAATATTAACTCGAAAATGTGGGTAAGTTTTATTTCAATATTTCATTATCAATATTGAAACTAATCATTCTAACTATGTTTGACTCGATTTAATTGTTATATAATTATAATTGTCAAAACAGCTGTTTTGTTACTATAATTCAGTGAAGCGTCGCGGGCCGGATCCGACCCGCGGGCCGTAGGTTGCCGACCCCTGGTATAAAGCATTCGTTGACAAACGAGAAATTTCATTAAAAAGATATATATATGGTTTAAATATCTCAAGTCTCAGCCAGGCATACACATCAGCACAGACTGCCGCCAACATAAATTTGGAAAATGATATCTGATAAATCTCAACTGACCTCTTCTTTGTTTGCAGTGATTCTCTTTACAATTTGTTCGTGTGATTCACCGACGACATTTGATCCATTGACTTCGATTATTCGATCCCCTATTGAATACGAAAAATCTCTGATGTTTAGAAAGTCAAAAACCACCGTTGTTCACCACCAATGACCGGTAAAATCACATTTTGTGAAACTGAAACTCAGTAGTCAAAAAAATTCCAAAACAAAATTTTTTTGTACATATGCCTTTTTTATAATAATTCAAGTTGATCAGATAATACTCATTAATGAATTCGGAAATGCGATTGGACGTACACATTTATCACATGATATTTCATAAAATATAGTAAATTTTAGCAATAATTTTCTATACAGCGTCTCACTAAAATTACCATTTCTAAGTCCTCCAATTTCAGCGGCCCCACCCGGAACTATTTCTTTGATCAATTCTCCTTCGCCTTTTGTTTGCGCCATTAGATGGAATCCATAGCCGCTTGATGTCTTAATCAAAGTGCAAACACGAGGCTTATGCTCGTCGTCAAGCTCGCCTAAAAAATTGCAAAATGTTACTTATCCATCAATTATGGAATATAGATTTTGCATTGTTGCGGGGATCAGATTTTTTAACTTTTGAGTCTGCTTTTAAACACTTGCGTTTGAACTTATAGTTTTGGCACCGGTTTTGCGCGTGAAAAAGTTTATATCGTTCAGTGACGAGAATGTAGCATTGCGCATCAAATTTCTAAAATATTCTAGAAATTCTATTGGCATAGCTTTAATTTTATTAATTATTTAGTATGGAAAATTTACCACTGGTTTCGAGTAGCGCAGAAGTTATAGGAACTCCTTTTTCCTGGAAGAATTTTTCTTCTTGTTTGTTAACCAGCAAGAAAGTTACTTCATTCCCAGAGTCTCGAATCTTTTGCACTACCTGAAAACATTAAACTTAACCATCAATAGGAATTATGATATATGATTACCCATACTATTTCAAGCAATATAATTATACAAGAAGAGAAGATTCACTTGGTTTAGTATACAACGAAAGTGTATGAGCATATACATATAAAGCATATTTTATTCCATGCATTTGGCACGGATTTGGCCAACCATCAATCATTTATTGGGTTCATTTATTAATCAGTTTATTGAGATCTAAATGAACAATGGTAACTAAAATGCGACAAAACATGCGCCCTATTTGTGAACGTGGGGACATGGGGCATGGGGCTGGCCTCTATATAGGGAAGACTAATTAACCATGATGAAGGTAACCCAATCTTACCGTACTGTGAGGTTCGTTTTCAACGTTTACTCCGTTGATTTCTACAATACGGTCATAATCCAAAGCACCAGCGCGGAATGCAGGTCCATTTTTCTCCAGATTGATCAAATAATGACCTTTGTCATCTTTCAAGAAAAATCCAAATCCACCATCTTGTCGAACAACTTGACACAGCCTTGGTTTCATCTGTAATCACAAATAGCAAAACTTTACAATACAAAACAGATTTCAAACCAGATGCTTTTCACACTCGGTGTCTGTTGTTATGAGGTCACATAATCACACTCCAATACAATCACCATGTCAAGTTTTATTTTTTGAGAAAATAGTTATGGAATAATAAGAATCTCAGTGCAAAAATATGCAGACCCCGAGTCCTAGATCATTCTTGTTTCCGTCCTTCTTTTCAATAACAGCTTCAGCGACGACTGCCACAGGTTTCGAAGGTTTCTCAAAATCTGGAACTTTCAAATCGTCTTCTGTAGGCCATTCGTCGTAAAGCTCTTTTCCAATGGTCACATTAATTTTTTGTAAGAATTCGCTAGTTGCTCGGCTACCGACGATCATACTCACTGTGGAACCAGCACTCCTAAAATTGTTTGTAAAGAGATGCCGCTATATTTATATAGAGTTCATCTATATTCAGGGCTGTCATCAATATGAATCCAAAAATAAGGACATTGGTGAGACGTTATTATAAGATAACATAAATCAAAATGTATATATGCCAGTGCGACCCGTGTCTAATCATATTTCGCATAGAACAAATTTGCTCCAGCAATACTTTATTCTTAGAAACTATCTGTTCCATCTCACTTCTGAGTTATCTTTTGCTTGTATAATTCGATTAGTTCAGATTAAAATTAAATTCACTACTGTATTTTCATTCAAGTTACATGTATAGGCTATTGTTTTAACCTTGTAGTAATTAATTTTCTGTCATTTCGTCATGAATGCGCGTAGCAATCAATGAGGTTTCAATATCATTCCTAGAAATCAATCGTGCGAATTGACCAATCTAGGAACCCGGTATAAGAACCTCTAACCCTAAAATAAGACAAAAAAATAAGGACACATGTCAAAAAAGGACGTTTCTTAGCAATAAGGACAAAAATATTTTCTAAGACAAAGACCTTCAAAATAAGGACAAACCTTAGAAATAAGGACGTTATGGCAGCCCTGCCTATATTGTGGGATTTTTTGTTTTGGCTAAACAGGTTCGACTTTTACGATTCTAACGTTAATATATGAACTTCAACGCATGTTGCCAAATGAATGATTTATAAAAATAAAGAAATGTTGTTCATATTTATGCATTATTGGCCACGTTATAATTTCTTTTTTTTTTCAACTTCATTTGGTCATTTTATATAATGATTAGGCAAATATTGCATCGTCCTGACAACTAGAGTTAATCGATTTTTTACCTTTTTTCAAAAAATTCGAACATGTATATATTTTTCTACACACGAGTCAAACTGGGAGATTTTTCACATGTCGAACACCTCCGAAAATACTCACTTTATTTTCCCTATACATTGTTCGTGTGTGTCAGTCCATACTCCACTACCATTCACAGAAATCAATATATCACCATCTTTCAATCCTGCTTTGTCAGCAACTCCGTTAGTTTCAATGTCAGAAAAAATATGAAATGAGCATCCCTGACAAAAAAATCATAATGAGACATTATCTTGGCGTTCTTTAAACAATGTTTTTTTTTTTGTAAAACATTGATAAATACACGTTATACACCAATTTTATATTGCATGTATTGCGTGCACAAGATTACCTACTGACCATAAACCAACATTTTACTACATGGCTAATGAAAGTTACTTTTTCCATCTTTAGAAACATTCCAAATCCACTGTCGCCTTTGGTCATTTCCACGCTTCTTATCAAATGCGAATGAGCTTTCGATATGTCATCAGCTGTGGGGTAATTAGCTTTCTCCTCAAAGTGTCTGAAAGAAATAAGACAGCATTTAGATAAAAAAAAAACGGTGTTATTTTTGTGCTCTATTATTCAACTATTTTAGACATTCTTGACATATTTTGTACCAATTTATATGGAAGCTTCTATGTTTTGGTTCCACACAGTATACAATTGGTCGAATTTCATTTTCTTATGCTAAAAAAGCTACACATACGATCGCAAGTGCACAACGAATGCCATAACGAAAAACTTTACGTTTACAGTTTCGCTTCTGTACATTTTGCACCTCGTTATTTGAAGTATGACTGCCATGAAATTGTATGGATTTCTTTACATCAGATACTGAAGTTAGTTAGTCAGTTACATGGGTTCCTCCTTGGTAAACACGGTCGGATTATTGTATGTGCCGCACCTTCGTTTGCTTACTTATTACGATAATTCATTGTAACATACACATAAAATAAATTAGCTGTTTACCAAGAATAGCCAGTAGATATCTCATCTACGAATGTACTTGATGGTTTTTCAATTTATAAAGGTGTTCCAAACCACAGTAGCTATAAAGTGGAGGATAAATCATTTCTCGTAAATGAAATCCCCATTGGCCTCGATATGATATATATTTTATTCTCATGGTTATCTTTATCGTATTGAAAAATTGAGATTTTATTCATGACAAAATCATGATTGTTACATCGTTGAAAATTTCACGTTTCACTCAGTCTTACTTCATCGCTTGAGTGTCCATAACAACAAATACAACTTGACTTTGTTTAGCTTTGATCAATCCAATGACATCAGCATGTTCCATTCCGATTATAGACTTTCCGTTCACCGCCATCACTTGGTCTTCGGGATAAAGACCACATATTTCTGCAGATCCGTCTTTATCTACATTCCCAACGAATTCACCTGAGGAAAACATTTTTCTTAAATTAGTATTACTGGCACTGCGAATTACGATGACGAAAGACGTTAAATCGCGAGGAGAGAATGTGACAAAATAACGCGAACAACAAATTAAAATTAGTATTAAATAATCAACTTCTTTGTCCTTAGCAACTCTATGTTACCTCTTCTATTGTTATCGAAAAATACGAAACTGAAAAACAGATGAGAAAACTATAGATTTGATCAACCTATCCATGTAGGAAATAATATTGCAGAATGTGTTTCATTTAATATATAAAAATGTCGAGAATCAAATTTCATCGCAATGAAATTTTAAAAAGAATTGATGTAAAATATATGAATCAAACAAACGTCAAATTCCAACTTTTTGAAAATTTATTATCGTTTTGTTACATTCATCAAGTTACATTATATCAAGTTGATTGCAAAGTTGCTTACAACGTTATTTGCTTCACCCAATCGGCAAATGACTAACTGGGAAATGCGCAATGGCCTGTGTCAACATACAGGAATTTAATTCACGTTTAAAAGTTGTTTGACGGTATTTACCAGACTCGATCACGTCGTTAAATTTTATATCCAATATATAAATCAATTGACATTATTGCTTAACTTATTTTGATACGTGTGCGATCTATTAGTATTCGAACCCGTCCGACAAAGTGCTTATAATAATAAGTTATAATTGGTTTTAGCTCACGCTAAAAACAACGTTGACTCGCTTACCAGGACTTCCTTTCTTTGCCTTCAAAAAGAACCCATATCCGTTCTTCGGATTCTTTAGGACGTGCACTACACGAGTTTTGCCTTTCAATGGGTTATCGGAGACCTTTGGCGATTCCTGTTTAACCGACTGCTTTGTCTTTGATGCCGGTGGTGCCTTTGTTGATTGTTTTGATTTAACCGATCCACTTTTTGCCAATTTTTCCGTAATAGGGATTTTTCTGAAAAAAAAAAGAAATATTGATCTGGGAAATAATATGACATATCAAAATTTGAACTAATAGAAATAGAACTCTTTCATTCAATAAATTTTAAATTGAAATTTTATTTATGTGCGCGATTTCATCAATTTCAAGTCACACACTTTAAACATTTAAAAATAAAATTACTTCGCTTTCAATTCTTTGTAACTTTCCTCGTCAATAACAAGCAATGTCACTTTTGGTCCAGCTTTTTTGATTAGGTTTACGACTTGAGCGTGCTTTTCTTTTTCCACGTTGTTTTTTCCAACAGCAATAAGTCGATCACCAGCTCTTAAACTCGTTCCATCTGCGGCACCTCCTTTTGTTACTTGCTTAATGAAATGACCTTCAAATACAACATGTATATACCGTATCGAAATTGGATTATTTGGTTTTGTCTCTGATAATTAAACTAATGATTTGATATTGCCAACGGCCGACAAGTCGTCCATGTTCTAGTCATTATTTGACGTGAGCCTGACTAAATGCCGTAATCGGTGATATAGGGTTCATACTAAGAAGCGATCAATATTAGGATTACCGGGAGCAGTATCTCCGTGAGCTTCCAAGAAAAATCCAAAGCTATTGTCCTTTTTCTTTATTTTACAAATTCTTGGCCGGGCATCACCTCCGGAACTCGACGATGTCTTTTGTGGTTTTGGCCTAAGTATAGAGAGAATAAGCAAATGTGGAAGTTTAACGAAGTTTATGCTTTTTATCACAAATTTTTGTTTGAAGACTTCTCAAACAAAAATATAATGCTGCTCATGCGTGCAAATGTGCAAAAATGTTTGATTGTCAAATGACACGCGATATTCGATTCGATACTGCAAAATTTGTTGACAACATTGTTAATTTATTGCAACATTCTCATGTGTCATGAAAATTTACTTTATCTGTATGCATTATCAGGAACATTTTATTGCTTTCTATCGTTCAATCTTTATATTTTCCGGTAATTCATCATATACTGGAGATTTTTCCTCAAAGATCTCAGTTCTCTTATATAATTTTCGCAAACGCGAAGTAATAATGGAGAGCTGTACAAAATCATGCCACAAATCGAAATAATCCAACTTGCTTAGACTTAAAAACTACCAACAACATATAAAAATCATTCGATGGCAGATATGTCTGTTGACGAAATTTTTCAATATTAGTCACTTTACGGTATAAAAAATTCTCGATAAAACGACTCACTTCGGGGTATTGGGATCTTTTTCACTATCCACTACCGAGAATGTGATTTCGTTTGTTGGAACACATTCTCTAATTATGGAAACGATTTCTTCGTGGGATTTTGATTCAACATTGTTTCCATTGATAGAAATGATTCTATCCCCGTCTTTCAGTCCTCCTCGATAAGCAGGACCATCTTTGGTCACAGAAGTAATAATCTGGAAAACAAATTCAGATTCCCAAATTGTTACAATGCTATTTAAATGATTATAAACTATAGAAAAATTTCCGAAAGAGTGTTTATGGAAAAATATCTTATGTGCGGGTATGATTTGTGGGTTCTATGATAGTATGAATCAAGTGGATTTAATAGGGTTCTCTTTCCATGTATTTAGGCCATATTGATAATTTTTATGAATGCGTCTATAAAGTTTGATTTTACAATGAGCAAAATGTAGTAGCATATCATGTGTATGAGTAGCATAAACATACATCATACTTGATAACTTGTGAATCCCACAACATTCGGATATTGGAGTAAGCAAATGTATAATGTCAAACGCGGTTACATTACGTTTAGCTCTACTGACATACTCCGCGTAAGTTTTTGTGGAAACAACGATAACAAATACATATTCATACCTGACCACCCCTTAATTCATCGGCTTTCAAGAAAAATTCGAACTCTTCCGACTCTTTCTTCAGTACGTGACACTTCCGTGCTCCACTTGGGCCACTCATATTTTTAACTGCCTTTATCGACGTTTATATTGTAATTATTATTTATGTAAAAATGAAAAACAGAATAATTTAGTCTTGTGTCAGATTTATTATTTGAAAACTAAACGCTGAAGCATATATGAGATATCCCCCTGAACAATGTCTGTAGGCAGAATCTAGATGTAGATCTTCAAAATACTCTAACACAAATTACAATGCTAACTATTTAAAGTGTTCATTGCCTGCGCGTAAATTTGTGGCAATTGCAAGCATGCATTTCTGTTATTTTTTCAACGTTCAATATTTAATCTATGGAATTGGTAAGGATAATCATTCATTAGCAAACGACGCCCTTAACCAAGCCCATCATATCGTATTCAGCAATATTTTCGATCAATAATAACTAGCAATAAATAATCGCATCTAATCACATCACGAGATGCAGCTAATATTCCCAAGACTTATGAATAACTAGAATACTGATTCTTAACCTCAGCTAGAAAATTATGTAACATCGCTTCAATTTTGGCCACAGAAAAAACTCTCACTTAGATTTAGGTTTACTATCGTCCGTACTTGATATTACCATTTTAAAATGATATTATAACATGTACATTCTAGTTGATAATTTACTAACGGCTGTATACCAAACACTGTTACGGTGTTTATCTGTGCTGTTTAGCTACTCGAGGTTGAGTTAATATAGTCAAGTAATATCATATTGAGGTACGTTCAACTTCATTTAAATTACAAGCTTTAAATTCTGGCCCTGCGGACGTTTTTTCTAGCATCATTACTGGCATAACTATTGCTTGTTTAATGAAATATGTCACTTTAAACTAAAATGTTAAATATTGAAAACATCATAGAATATGTTGTAAATATTCATTAACAGATGTAGACACACAGGTATCATCCTTTTGGCCCCGGAAGCAATTCCACCGTAACCGCTGTGCTATTAAGAAAAATGTCGAAATACCATTTACAAGCAAGCGTTCAATATTGTATAACATTATTTAATTTAATTACATAAGAATTATATTGTTATAACATAGTTATCGCACTCCAATATGGACTTTATTTGTACCCAAAAACCTCTAAACCGACGTGCGAGCATTGAGTGACCTCTTTTCCAATAATTCCGATTATGTTTCGCAATACTTTGCTGCATGAAATTTTATTAGAAACTAAGAAATATTTTAGCTTTACGGTTTGCCGGTCATTCTAAACGTAACGCATCTATGATTCTTACTTGGCTATGTCTAATTCCGTTTATTTTATGGTTTTTATATATGGCCCGTGTTTTTTGACATAGTAATTTTATAAATGGGATCGCTGACATTTTTCTTTGTGTTTAGCTACCGAACACATCGTTAAGTCAGCAAACTCTTTCATTGATATAACGCAGGTTTTGTTTGTTCCATCACATTATTCTGTAAAACTTCAAACAACACTGATAACAATGCACGCACGACGGTCCAAAGATCCATGTACCTGTTCGGACATGCAGGCGACTCCAAATAAATAAGCGTTAACGTGATGTCAACACCCGGAAATCATTGCGTTTCAGATTCTTTGTGAATGATAAAACACTATTTGAATGAATGAAATTGAAAGCCGTGCAATGGTGCATATTCACGATACCCGCATTTCGATGAAAAAGAATGAAATTCCCTTGTCTTTTAGCATCTTAAACACGATATCGAAACTATAGTCATGTTTCAACAATATTAAATCTATTTTTCCGATGAATATATATTATAAATATATATTCTGCAAACCCATGTAAAGAGAATGTCAATCTTATATAAAAATAGTATATGTTTTTACTCAATCTAATATGAAAAATAAATGATTGCCGTGAACATCACAATTAAAAACAACCCTCTCAATTAAAATATACATCTCATGTACATGAATTGTGATTGGACGAACTTACAAGTCTGCATATGTACAATATAATATTAACTGTTCGACAATATTATTTGCAAACGGTTTGTGCTTCTCGCTTGTTTGGCGAACTTAGTTTTCTTTCAGCAAACAGTAAAAAGCCATTTCACCTATATCATCGGAGATGTGACAAATCTATTTTGCAACATTCTAGTTCAAACTAACAAGTCTGGTGATTGGCCCATGCTTAGCATCAGTATGCATCAAAAAATCGTAGATTGTGTGAGCTGGAAACAAACCGAACAATCCTTTTTTTTTAAATATTTTGTATTAATACGGCGATATTTTTTAAAATGTGGTTTAATTTTGCTTTGGTGTGAATGCACAAATAAGGAAAGGCTTGGATGCGGCAATTAAATTTTGGTTCGAAAACACCACATCCCCTGTGTTGACAACCGCCCGTGTTGAGTTTCTGTTTTCGTCAATCGTTACAAGTGTTATTACCTATTATTATAAATAGCTTACTAGTTTGCATAGAGACATTATTATACAATACATTGAAATTACTTGTAAGCATATTCATACAAATCATAGCCTCTTAATAGCTTGCTATTAACTTAGTAAAAGTTTGAAATCTCCCTCTTTGCAATTCCCACATCCTCGAAAACGAGAGATTATTTTAAAAGAATTTAAATATTAACTTTCAATATGACATTGAGGTAGATATAATATAATATAACATATAATTAAGTAGACATAAAGTTGTATCAATGGGCAAGATATTCTAAAAGAAAAGTTACATAAACTAATAATATGAGAGATCACTTAACGGGCATGCTGGGTTAAATATTAAACAAAAACCTGATAAACAGCTTAAAACGCGTCATTCAATATCCGGATGATTATTAATTAACAACGATATAAAGACATTATAAATAATAAGCTCGGTTTAACGGCATTTCCAAGTAATTTAAATTTTAAAATTTTCACCGAATCCCCCGATGTATATTCATTAAGGTTATATTGTTGACGGAAGATACCGTCAAGTCGAAAACTTTTTAATTCAAGAATGTGAATGTAGTTAAATTCGCAGAATCATTTTATTATCCATTCGATAGTAATCTTGTTTGTTGAAGCATACTGTGATTAAAAAAGCATGGTCAATAATGTTTCTCGCTTGGCGCTGACTAATTCAAAAAAATATTGCGCCATCTTGCGAACACAAATGATCATAATTACTATTAAACTGAAGTTAATCTTCTTGAAATATTTGATTACAATCTGTTATCTTATTTGTTTTCGTGGTAAATCATTCAGACATAATTGAAGTAATCCATCATTAATGGCTTTATCAAACTTTTGCCACATAAAGGACGCAAAATATCATTAACGTAACTTGATAAATTGTCGTACCCAAATTCAAATGCTATCCGAGCACCTTTAAAGAGTATTTATCGAATACAACTAAACGTTTCTTCGTACGCATCCTGGTAATATGACGACGTCAATCGCGAGTCTAACCGACGCAAACCTTATATATATAAACGTCAGAAAGTTAAAAATTATACAGACTTAAGTTTTGATAATTTGATTTGTGTCGATTTGATTTTGATTCAATGCACACGACAGACCGTATTTTGTGAACGATTCGTTGATCATATTTGTCAGTGGCGTAATATTCCTTGACTAGGCAGGGCTAAGTATGAGCATTTTCTGGTGGGGATACGAACCATTGTTAAACGCGCAACCGCAATCAGTTTTTGAGTCACTTTCTCTTATAAAATGTCTCACATTCATCAAATATTTGAAAAAAAAAATCAACTGACTTATTGGCAAGACGAAGCTATCAAAGTAAGATTCAAGGTTCAGTAATTTTCGTCTAGGGGCCTCTAAAACGATCGAATAACCTAAAATGTTCAAATCATTTACTGAATGTAAAGTAGCTCACAAAGAATGAGAAAAGCGAGGCTTATTATACGACGCTCTAATTAGACTTGGTACATTATTCCGAATTGAATTTTTGCCCCACACATGAATGAAAATAAGAAGTATATACCGTATACAAAAATCTGCGCGTGCATTGAAAAGTATATTACATTATAGCGTAAGGTAAATTATTCGTGCTTATACTTTGAACAAGTGCCCATCCGATAATCGATGAAATGTAATCGGGCGGAATAACTACATGCTAAGTAATCACGCAAATTCTGGCAGATAACGATCTATAGATGCTGGTAACGATAAATTTTAAATCGTAACAAAACAGAAAGAACATAGTATACAAGAGAAATAAATAAACAAACCCTCAAAATGTCTTTGGCTTTGTAATGCAATCGCTCCCAAATCCTAACTAATTCACTACTATAAAAGTTTTAAAAAACAAAAAGTCGGATTTTCCACATAATCACACAAAATACATGTCTCAATTTGACGCTCAATTACTGCGTTACGCTATGCCCTTTGCGTTAGTGAAAAGCGACTTGTCTTTTCAAAACCGATCACATTTAACTTATATTTAACGATCATCAAGCAGTGGTGCATTGTACTGAACTTGATATTGACTTTAATTAAAATTGGAGCAAGTTCCTTTTATTTTTTCAATAATTTTAGTTAGATGCGGCACTCGATAGCAATACTTCGATATATCGATCTTAGCACGAAAACAATTACAAGATATTGATATTTTTCGCATTGTTCAGGCAATGAAATACGCATATAACATTTTAGTTTAAACCCTTTATAATAAATACTCATATCAACCAGATTTATTTTCATATTATTTCTTGGCCTTATTTTCATTGAATAAGCAATCAATCTGTAGACGTTGAAATACCTTTGTTTCTCTGAGGATATTCGTTTTTAAACTTGCATACTTAATCCACGATTGAGTTGTAGGCGGTGAGATCCTTGCTTTACTAACATGGTATACCTCATAAATTAAATAGAACAAATCTTATTTGAATAGGTTAAATTACTGTTACATATCCATTAAAGCTGTGAACTGAATCTACGTTTCATGGCGCAGGACAATTCGTGTTTTACCCAAGTTCGAATTCGGTACCCAAATACAGTTCTAGTATTAACATACGGCACAATCATATATTTTGGCTGGAAGTTTTCCTAGTGAAATACTCAAACACCACCCCGTTTTAATTCTTGCTCTTCGAC